TTTGTATTATTAATAGGTACATTCAGATCTGATATTGCTCATAGAGTAATGAGAGAATGTACTGGAATAATAAAGGAAAAGGTTGGCCTGTATCCACTGATAGACAGGCTGGTTGAGAAGAGGATAAGTGATGCTGAAAAAGGTCAAATTATTGATACCAGCACTGGACTAACTGCTAACGAAAGAATGGACGAGCTGCTTAGTTTAGTTAAAGCATCCATTAGAGAGGATGGAGAAGATTTTGGTTTGTTTCTAGAAATAATTAAACAAGAGAATACAAGAAGAGCTGATAGACTAGCACAGACACTATTAGACAATTATAAAAGATTATTATAATTTTGCTTTTTCTTTCTCTTCTTCGATTCCCTTTCTTTCTTCCTTTCTCTCCTCTCCTTTCATTATTATTATTTTACTATTATTACTATTATTATTATTATTCATTATTTATTATCATTATTATTTTTATATCTGAAAAGTTGCTTATAATTTTTATTGTTGATTTTGCAATTGCTTTTTAAAATTACAAGTTTTACAATACAAAGCCTGATCACTTCTCACTTGGGTTTACAAAATTTCCTTAATTTAAAGAAAAGAAAGCTTCAGAAACAGTTCTTTGCATGCTACAAATCCACACACCAATCTTCCTGTTCCGTTTATCTTACAGGTACGTACATGCACTTCCAACCCACTTCCTCTCTCTCCCTTACCTGCACTGTACAATGTATATAGCAGAGCTCTGAGAGCTGCCATATATTGTGTTAAATTCAATTTGAAGCATCAAGACAGACAAAGGAGAGCTCACTACACCTAATGCAATAGACAAAGTTATCATTGTGGTTGCCACAGCCCTACTACAATTTCATGCCTTTGACATAATCTAGAATAGTCTATATCTAGTTTCCATATAGTTTCCCACAAGTTTTTTGTAGTAGCTCATGCAGCTCCTTGTCAATGGATTTTCAAGTTGCTCAAAAATTGGACCAAAGACCCAGAACTATAGTAGATTTACTGAGAATTTGACCCCCAAAAAATAATAAGGGCAAAAATTCCATTTTGATAATCTTTTCTGAGGCGTGTCATTAGGAACAAATTTGACTTTTCTAATATAAATGCATCTACTTATGCTGTGTAGAAAGTTTGATCTGATTCCAATCAAATTCAGATTTTTAATAATTTTTAGAGTTGCTCAAAAATGGGCCAATGTCCCTGTACTTTTAAAAATATTACAGTACATGTGGGGATTTACAAGGATAGTACAGGGATTTTAGAATTTCACTAAAAAGGCAAAATGAGAATTCTTCATTTAAAAATTTTTTGATATATATATATATACATGTGTTTATGTGTAGAAATTTTGAATTGATTCTGGTCAATTTTGAATTCTTTGTCAACTTTTAAAGTTGCTCAAAAATTGAGCCAAAGTCCCTGTACTTTTAGTATAGTATGTGATTTCGGCCAAATTTCATCAAAAATGGCTTAGTAAAAATTCTGCATTTTAATAATTTTTTCTGATAGATATACATGTACCGGTACTTATGTTGCGTAAAGTGTTTTAACTGATTTCAATCAAATTTGCAATTATATTTGATTTTTAAATTGCTCAAAAATTGGGCCAAACTATATAGTCTAGAGTACAGGGATTTCAGTCAAATTTTGCCCAAAATAGCCAAGTCAAAATTCTCTAATTTAAAAAAATTTTCTAAAATATATATATATTATACATGTAGCTATGTTGCGTAGAAAGTTTGAATTGGTTCCAATCAAAATTTGATTTATTATGAATTTTTAAATTTGCTCCAAATGCTTGCCAGCTGACAAAGCTTAGTTAGCATGCCTTATGGGAAACCCTGCATGATCTAGTTTGACAAGTTCAATGCCATGACTATCCTACCACACAATACACATAAAAACATACTTGTATCATAATTATAGATTCTAGTTCCTATACTTCAATCTGTTGCATAAGTTGCCTGATAATATCCACTGGCCAGATCTATTGCTAGTTTTCTAATAAAAAGTTATATTGGATGTTGTTGACAAAAGATAAAGAGACAAACTTCACTTATCAAAAGTAATAAAATTTAATTTAAGTATCAAAGCTCCAATCAAGATTGGTGAGTTCATCTGGTCCTATATTCAACAGAGAAGAAGTGACAGGTGCAGTTGCAAATTGCTAAATTTTGGTGTATAGCGGTTTTTAATTTGGTGAATTTGTGGCCAAGTGCCATTGAGCATGCGTATAATGGCTCAAAATGGCAGATTTTTATTTTCGTGAATGGCTATCAAAACGCTAAATTTACCAAATTTAATCCATCCAAAATTTCCTGCTATACGGTATGTGCTAAAATTAATAATCTAATTTTTAAGGTGCTTATTCCTAATTATATTAACCAGCGAAATTCATGAGCAAAATGAAAGTATTAATTATATATTACCTTTATCATTCTTGCTATCTTTTCTTGACAACACAAATGACAAAACAAATCTAAAAATAACAAAACCACATTTTCCCTAATGAATTAGATGTGGCCACATTTGCCTGTAAGGCTAATCCAGTGTAAACTGGTGTGTGTCTGTTGTGTGTGTGTGGACTATAACTGACAGGTCCCATTTCTCATTATAACTATCAAGTAATACCAGTACAACATCAAAACGACTCAACAGTGGACTAGCCAATGCAACATTAATACCTGTACTCTAACAAGAATAAAAGAAGAGAAGAGGATCAATGACCACCATATTTAATTATTCGTGAATTATATTACA